AAAATTCGATATTAGATTAGGATTAGGTTTCGCTATTAAGTCAAGTCAGAAAGAACTCTAGTAGTACCAAAATTTCGCAAGGAAACCTTTTTGTTAGTGCGCAGAAAGTGGTTTCATAGACAAAATATTGAGTTATGAGCGATTTTTTGGTTTGTTTTGATTTTTTGCGTTTTTTCTGCGTCACACTTGATCTTAAAATCTGATTGGCCAGTGAAATTTTTTAGGTTAGTAACGTTGGTCATGCAAACAACTCAACTCGCGCGTGAAGATCACAAGACAACTGCAGAAGCAAGAATTCGGGCGTGGGAAGATCAATCAAAAAGGGGTAACAATAGAACAGCCCGAACCGAATGGAACTCGAGTTTTTGTGGCCACATGATATTTCATTATTATATTTAAACTCCTCATGTTCCAAACGAGTTTGAAGTCGATTAGATGAACAAAATGTTCGATTTTAATTAACTTTAGACTTTTAATTACTACCATTATGATGAACAAAAATTATTATTATTATTATTTTTAAGTTACTGTGACGTGAAATGACGACAATTAGTATTCTTTAATTTTTTTTTTTTAAATATGCGACTTCTTTTTTTTGCATATCTTTTTTTTTTTTTTTTTTAACCTAAATTTTACTATTTGATAGACGAAGAAAATATTTGAACAGTTTGTTTATTCAACTGAACATACCTCTTCAAATTCAATTTTTCAAAATGCATTTTAAAACTACATTATGATAAGCAAAATGAACTTCGTAACTTTTTTAACACAACAAAAATTTGCGTTCACAACGGATTCTTGAACCCCTTGCAAGAGCAAAGAAATGGTTTGAAGGTAAAAAAAACACAATCAACCCAATACGTAATAGAATGTCTGAAGAAATGTATTATTTAGGTATTATGAAATGTAATGAAAGTTAATAATTGGGTATAATCAATTGCGTAGATTAATAAATAAATAATAGTGATAATACAAAAATTTATATATTTCGAAAAGCATTCGTTTTACACAACATTCAATGTTGAGTTTAAGGTTAGCAGAATACATGATAGAAAGCGAGCAATTGACCGAGTTGGTCGAACGGCAGAGACATCCCGCGACAGAAGCAATCGTAATTGCACTGGGAGTGTCAGTAGAATTAGCTGGTGGGGTCATGCCCCGCCTGCCGAATCAAGCCGGCCGCAAGTAAAAAAATGATGGAATCACGTGTCTTCTTGTTTGGGTGGGTGGCGCGAATTTCGCCTTGTGGTTTTTTCAGCGCCAGAAAGCTTGGATTCGTTGTCTCTTGTACTAATAATGTCTTTAACCCGTTTTCTGGCGCCTGATTCTTTGCGCCAAGCATGTGCAAGCAGAATAGCATCCCTAATTATACGTAATGATTCTTAAAAAACACGCAATGTCAATTGAAATATATATTAAATGCATGGATTTATTTTTTTCGGACAATTATAAACAACGATGCATCACTAACTTCTTTATGAGATGCTAATATAAGAAGGCCATTATCTCATTTACATATGAACTGATTCGATAAAATGTCAAAAATGATTTACCAAATATAAAATTCATTTAATATGTATGCTCCGCGTCATGTAAGATATAAACACAACATTCATTCTTTTTGGATCTCATGAATGTTGTGTTCAGGAGTAAATGTATTACGTGAGCAAAGGATGTGTCAAAAAATTTTTTAATAATTAGACTTTGAATGGGTTTTTATTATCACTTAAAAAGGATAGATCAATAAAAAGAATTAATACTTCGGATTCAGAATCTGATCAAATCATATTAGAATAGTTGTAACACAAACGAAAATATATAAGTGTCACGGGTTAAGTTGTAACGTACAATGGTAAGACGAACTAACACGAAACAGGGTAAGGTAACTTACTAGAAGTGTGACTATCGTTATGGTGATTTTGGAATAATATGATACTGTAAGAGGGAGTTCGCACATAAGTATCATAACTAACATCTTACCCAAGTTAAGTTCTTTAAAAAACTAGAGAGGCTTAGCTATTCGCCATTATATTTAGCCTTTTATGTACTGTGGCTTTGTTATTCTCGCGCTCGGGATGGATTTCAAGATTAGGTGCAACATGATCAGGAAGATTCAAAACAAACATTCGTTCTGCAAAAAATTGCTCATAACTCAAAAAACAGCATAAGAAACCACCTTTAGTATTCTAACAAAAAGTTTTCATTGAGCAATTTTACTAAATAAACTACACCTCTCTAACTCATTACTCTGACCTAACCCTAACCATAACTAATTTTAAAAATTTTGTCTGCGCCGCAAACCTGGTACACATTATCCGAGTGTGATGAAATTCACCTCACATTGGTTACACGATTTTCTTTCGACTTTCTTTAAAGAGTCATTTGCCGAAAGGTTTTTAAAAAGAGTTTAGAAATCATTTTTTAATTTTTTTTTTTTTTTAAAAAAAAATTATTTTACTTATTTTACCGAATTATTATTATGTATTGTTTTAATCCTTTTCTTAAACTACAAAAATTTAGAAAAAAAAGTATTGAAGCATCAAAACCCAAACCAGCTAGTGCGCGACCTCTACTTCCACCTAATATTGAAAAAGATAAAACAATTACAGAAAAAGCTTCAAGAATGTTGGCTAAGGCCGAAGAATGTTTTGAGGCACAAAAATATAAAGATTATGTTGAATTACTTGAGAAAACCGTTCAACTTGGTTCGGCAAAGGCAGCTGTCAAACTTGCTTTAGTTCATCATACTGGTCTGAAACCAATAATTATACAAGACTACGCATTTGCTTACACTTATTAGGCCACGCAAAGTTAATTTTTCGTTTTGCATAACCCGCCGACCCATTTTTTCAAATTTTCAAAATTTTTTTTT